AAAGACTCTTTCTCTCTCTATCTCTCTCTCTCTCTTTCGAAATAAAGTTTAATTAGGTTTAGACGAAAAAAGGAAATGATGATGTTTGTTGAAGAAATGAAAAATTATACAATGAGAAGAGGCGCTCTGTGAAGTGAAAAAGGCGAGCAACTTGGAAAGCAGCTTAGAGAGAGGATGCGAATATGAGTGAGTGGCATTAATTAACCTGAAGGGGGAGAGAGAGAGAGAGAGGTGAAACTGTGCGAGGCGCCATTGTTGAGCTTGCGCGGAAAACTTTGTGTGAACCTTTCAGAAATGGTTTTCCACTACTACTACTACTACTACTACTACTACTATTACTAGGCAAATGAGCAGTCAAGAATAGCAACAGAACATCTGCTACTACAGCTCGTTCTCGCTTTGTCCCGAAAAGTTTTCCTCTTGAAGCGTGCGCGAACGCCATCTAAAATATGCTCTAATGTTACAAAAGGAGAGACTTTGAAATTTAACACAGGCATCTCTGACTCTTATTAATTTCATTGCTTAACCATAATTTAATTAAGAAATTAACAGGATTTGACAATGATACTTTGAATTATAATTCAAAACTTCATTTGTATAGCGCGCGCAATATATATATATATATATTTATATTATATCATTGTTTCAAAGCTTAAAATAGCGTCAAACAATTTTTTTCATTTATTAATTTGTTTCACTTAAAAGAAAAATTAAAAAAAGAAAAATAAAAATTCGGGCAATAAAAAATTCGAAACATTAAAAATTTTTTCTAAATAAAAAATTCGGGAAAATAAAAATTCGGTAAATTGGAAATTCTGGCATTTAAAAATTCGACGCACTTAAAATTTGAGTAAATAAAGAAAAAATTCGGACAATGAAGAGTCGATGAATTGAAGATTCGGGCATTAAAAAATTCGTATAAATAAAAATTCGGTAAATTATAAATTTTGACATTTATAAATTTGACGCACTTTATATTCTGGTAAATAAAAATTCGGACAATTGACAGTTAATGAATTGAAAATTCGGCCACTTAAAAATTTGAACAAATAAAAATTCATAAATTTGAAATTCGAGCATTAAAATATTCGAATCATTTAAAATTCGTGTAAATAAAAATTCGGTAAATTAGAAATTCGGACACTTAAAAAATTCTAATCATTTCAAATTTGTGTAAATAAAAATTCATGGAAATAAAAAATTCGGTAAATTATAAATTTTGACATTTAAAAATTTGACGCACTTTATATTCGGGTATATAAAAATTCGGATCATTAACAGTCAATGAATTGAAAATTCGGTCATTTAAAAATTCGAACAAATAAAAATTCATAAATTTAAAATTCGTGTAAATAAAAATTCGAATAATTGAAAATTCTGATATTTAAAAATTCGAAGCAAACTTAAAATTCGGATAAATAAAAATTCGGACAATTAAGAGTTAATGAATTGAAAATTCGGACATTTAATAATTTTTATCTATTAAAATTCGTGAAAATAAAAATTCGGTAAATTAGAAATTCGGACACTTAAAAAATTCTAATCATTTCAACATTTGTGTAAATAAAAATTCAGGGAAATAAAAAATTCGGACATTTAAGAGTCTATGAATTTGAAAATTCGGGCATTTAAAAATCCGAACAAATCAAAAATTTGGTTAATTAAAAATTCGGGCATTAAAAAATTCGTATAAATAAAAATTCGGTAAATTGTAAATTTTGATATTTATAAATTTGACGCACTTTATATTCGGGTAAATAAAAATTCGGACAATTGAAAGTTGATGAATGGAAAATTCGGCCATTTAGAAATTTGAACAAATAAAAATTCATAAATTTGAAATTTGAGCATTAGACTGTTCGAATCATTTAAAATTCGTGTAAATAAAAATTCGAATAATTGAAAATTCTGATATTTAAAAATTCAAAGCAATCTTAAAATTCGGATAAATAAAAATTCGGACAATTGAGAGTTAATGTATTGAAAATTCGGGCATTTAATAATTTTTATCCATTAAAATTCGTGTAAATAAAAATTCGGTAAATTAGAAATTCGGACACTTAAAAAATTTTAATCATTTCAAAATTTCTGTAAATAAAAATTCGAAGAAATAAAAAATTCGGTAAAAATTGTAAATTCTGTCATTTAAAAATTCGACCCACTTAAAAATTCGGACAATTAAGAGTCTATGAATTTGAAAATTCGGGTATTTGAAAATTCGAACAAATCAAAAATTTGATAAATTGAAAATTCGGGAATGAAAAAATTCGTATAGGTAAAAATTCGGTAAATCGTAAATTCTGGTATTTAAAAAATTCGAAGCAACTTAAAATTCGAATACACAAAATTTCGGACAAATGAAAATTCGGTAAATTGGAAATTTGGGCATTAAAAAATTTGAATTATTTAAAATTCGTCTAATAAAAAATTTTGGTAAATTGTAAATTTTGGAATTTAAAAATTTTAACGCTTTTTAAATTCTGGTAAATAAAAATTCGCTAAATTGGAAATTTGGGCATTAAAAAATTCGAATTATTTAAAATTCGTCTAAACAAAAATTTCTGTAAATTGTAAATTTTGGAATTTAAAAATTTGACGCCCTTAAAATTCGTGTAAATAAAAATTCGCTAAATTGGAAATTCGGACACTTAAAAAATTTGAATCATTTGAAATTTGTGAAACAAAAAAAAAAAAACTAGTAAAAAGAAAAATTCGCCAAAAAATGTCATTCATAAATATTTATAGGAAAGTGGTATTTACTTTTTTTTTTTGTCCATTCCCAATTAGAGGAATTGAAACATACATGAAATTAGCTGTACATATATATTACGTTAGAATCTTGGTTGGCAATATATGATATTAAATTAATTATTCTGCCGGGAGTCATGTAACGAATCAGCAGAGTAATGAAGTTTACGTGTCAAAGCCGTATACCGGTACTCATAAAGCTGGTATTTGAGCAAAATTCACCGTCGAACTGGAAATTTCATGAATTGTTCGACAGTGTGCATATATATATATATCCAACCTATATATATATATATAGACATTTTATACATTGTTATAGATATAAAATGACGTGGCATGTCCGATCGTAAAACTGAATCCTCAAGGCTATGGGAAGAGAGAAGAAATCCAGACGTTCCTTCTTGTCCTTTAAATTCCGGAAATTATTCTTCATCTTGGTTTTCAGATCCATTTTTTTTTCTTTACCCCCCTCCCCCCCCACGTCCAACGAGATAAAATCCTCTCGTAAATATTTTATAGCTTTTGCCCCTTCCAAAAATATTTTTCTCATTCCTTTATATAAAAAAAAATGTGTTTCTTTTTTTTTTTTTGTCTTTCATTAGAAATATATTTCAATACATAGGGGCGTTGAACAAATACATTTTTTCTTTGTGACACATTTTTTTTTTTTGCAGAAAAAGAAGGGAGGAAAGTTACAGATTTTTTTTAAGGCAATAAAATCGTTCTTTTGTTAGGAAAAAAAAAATGCGCCCTTTTTCATAGTAAATTCGTCACTTTGGAAGTAATTCGAAAGAAATTTCCTTTTTTTTCGGGGAATTTATTTATTATTTTCAAAGGGGGTTTCTGAAATAGAACATTTTTTTCAAAATTGGATTTTTTTTTTAAAATTATTTTATTTATTTAACTGTTTTTTAATTTTAATAATAATTATTTCGAGGCCTTTAATTATTTAATTATTTTTATTTTACCATTTTTATAATAATAATAATAATAATAATAATAATAATAATAATAATAATAATAATAATAATAATAATAATAATAATAATAGTTAAAAAAAATTTAATTTTTTCTCTAGGAAAAAAATAAAAAATTCTATTTTTCATTTTCGATTTGTCGTAAAGTTATTTACAGGGAAAAAAGTAAATTTATTTACTTTTAACGTTATTCGTTTTGAAATATATTTCTTTCTTTTTTTTTTTTTTTTACTGTTCTGCCCTTATATTTTTCGTTTTCTTGTACTTTGTGAGTCTCTCTCTCTCTCTCTCTCGCTCTCTCTCGCTCTCTCTCGTCTTTGAAGCGGGGTAAAAATATATTCAGTTGAATTTTTTTTTTTGTTGCCTTTTCTCATCGGTTTTTCGTGCGACATAAATTCTCATATATTCTATTGACGTGTCGTTTGTGACTTTTAGCAGGATTGACAGACACGAGTTTTAAGATTGCTCACTGCATTCCCTATTGCTTGCTGAAGTCAATCATTTGCTCATTTTTCAAGAGTATTGACAACTTCTCTTTCTCTCTCTATATATATATTTTTTTTTTCACTGAAAAAAAATAAATTTATTTCATTCAAATAATAATCGATTAGTTGACTGTTATTAAAATAATTATTTTTATTCAATTTATTATTTGTTTGAGTGTCAAGGTATTTTTTTCAAAAAAAAAAAAATTGAATAGTATTTTTTTCAAAAAATTATTATTTGAGCCAAGTAAATAGAATTTATTTTGAAAAAACTTAACATTTTGAGTCAATTAAATTTCATTTGTTTCAAATACAGAAATTATTGGTTCGAAAAAAATTTATTAAATTAAAATATAAAATTATTTAACTCAACTAAATATTTATTTGATAATAGTCAAAGTAACCGATTACTTGAATGAAATAATATTTTCTTTTTTCATTGTATATTTATATTTTTATAATTATATTTATAAATAATTATATATTTATATTTTTATATTTATATTTATAAATAATTATATTTATATTTTTATATTTATATTTATAAATAATTATATTTATATATTTATAAAAATATTTATATTTGTATATTTATACTTCTGAATATGATTTAATAAACGAAAAAGTAATTTTTAGAATTCTCTTACTAATAAATTTATTTTCTCAATTTTCCAGCAAGGGAAATTATATTTATTTTTTCCATTTTTAATACTTATTTATTTTAACTATTTGGGATTTTACATAAAAATAAATAAATTTAATAAAAATAATTTTCTTTTCTATTTTATAGAACACGGCTCTGCAAGCTCAAGGACAAGTTGGACAAGTTCAGGGTGGAGAAACGCAAGGAGGACCAAATACCGTCCTTAGGGTCATTGTTGAACATATGGTCTATCCAATCACTCTAGATATCCTCTATACGGTAAGTTAAATATAATTTCCCCTATTTTTTTTATAAACTCTCTCTCTCTCTCTTTCTCTCTCTATCTGGGAAAATTTTCCACTTACAATAAACTAAAATAAAAAAAACTTTTTCCATCTCTCGTTTAAAAAAAGGGGGTAATCATCAAAATTTAAAACCAGTTTTATAGACAAATTTTTTTACAGTGAATTGAACGAAAGTTATAGCTTTTGGGGGGGGGGGGAGAGAGAGGATGAGCGTTATTTTTTTTTTTGTATCTCATCAATTGTAGATAGAATAGAGAAAGAGAAAAGAGAGTAAAGGTCGTCTTTTCTTGCTAAATTGGATTTATGATAAATACATTTATGCTTTTAGAGTAGATTCTTTCGTTATTGCAGAATAGAGACTTTTATTGCAAGCGTGTGCAACAGTTTCTTGAGCAAAAAAAAAAAAAATAGAAAAGAAAAGAAAAAGGGTCAGTAAAATACAGTACAGTGTCGTTTTATTTTACTTTATTATATCATTTTTCCCCCCAAGACAGAAACAACACTGGCATTGCAATAAAAGAACTAGTAATAATAATAATAGTAATAATAATAATAATAGTAATAATAATAATAATAATAGTAATAATAGTAATAAAAAAATCCGGTAGTAGCTAAAATTATTGTTTTTGTGATATTAATTCAGAGGAAGAGAAAATAAATATAAAAAAAAAATTGTTCTCTTTAAAGTGAATCATATATATGTGAAATAAGTAGTGGAGGTCTATTAAATGTCAGACAAACTGGTATCAGAAAAATGAGTTTGAAAATAAGAGGATATTAATTTTATAGAAATAATCTCTACATAAAAAAAATTTTACACCGTTAAATGTTCACTAGGAGACAAATAAATATTTAGACATATTTTTTAATTTTCTAATTTTCTAATTCTTTTTTTTTTGTTATTTTGGCAAAATAAATCGATTTTAGTTGGACTTTTCAAAAGTTTGTAATTTTTTTTTCAGTAGTACTAGTCAATATTTAATCGGACTTGTTAATTTTTTTTGTGGTAATTTTTGTGGTATTCAGTAGTACAAATCGGTTTTAGTCGGACGTAATGACTAAATTAGAAAATCAGTAGTGGAAGCAAATATTTAGTCAGGCTTGCTAGTACTTGTAATATTTTCAGTAGTGCAAGTCAATAATTAGTCAGCCTTTAGAATATTGTAATTTTTCAGTAGTACAAGTCAATATTTAATCAGGCTTGTTAAATACTTGTAATTTCAATAGTATTCAGTAGTACGAGTAGGTTTTAGTCGGACATAATGACTAAATTAGAACATTAGTAGTCGCAGCAAATATTTAGTTAGAATTTCTAATTGTTTATTAGTATAAAGTAAATATATAGTCAAATTATTTTTAAATTTATGTAATTTTGTCAGTAGTACAAGTCAGTAATTAGACAGACAAAAAAAATTAGTAAAAATTAAATCAGAATTTAATACAATTTTGTAATTTCATCAGTAGTATAAATTGATTTTCGTCAATCTAATTTTTTTTGTTAATTGTAACGGTTTTGATCGGAATTTATAAATATTTCTAATTTTCTTTTTCAGTAGTACATGTCAATGTTTAATCGGACTTGTTAAATTTTTATACAAGTCAATATTTAATTAGGCTTGTTAAAGTTTTTGTAATTTTTGTAGAATTCAGTAGTAAAAATTATGTTTTTAGCTGGACATAATGACTAAATTTAAAAATCAGTAGTAGAAGCAAATATCTAGTCAGACTTTCTAATTTTTGTAATATTTTTAGTAGTACAAGTCAATAATTAGTCAGCCTTATAATTTTTTTAATTTTTTTAGTAGTAAAAGTAGTCAGACTCTCATTTTTTTCTATTATCAGTAGTACAAGTCAATATTTAGTTAGATTTTTTTATTTTCAATTTTATCAGTATTATAGGTAATTTTTAGTCAGACATAATGATTAATATTCAAAACAAGTAATTCCAGTAAATATTTTGTTAGACTTTTTGAAAGTTTTGTAATTTTGTCAGTAGTACAAGTCAATATTAAGTCAGAATAACCAAACTTTGTAATTTTTCAGTAGTACAAGTAAATATTATTTTAAACTTTCTAAATTTTATTTAATTGTATCGATTTTGATCGGAATTTATAAATATTTCTAATTTTCTTTTTTCAGTAGTACAAGTCAATGTTTAATCGGCCTTGTTAAATTGTTATAATTTTATTATAAATTCAGTAGTACGAGTCGAATTTAGTAGAACATAATGACTAAATTAGAAAATCAGTAGTGCAAGAAAATATTTAGTCAGACTTTGCAATTTTTTTTCTATTATCAGTAGTACAAGCAAATATCAGTAGTACAAGTAGTTTTTAGTCAGACTTAATGATTAATATTGAAAACCAGTAGTGCTAGTAAATATTTTGTCAAAACTTTTCTGAAAAGGCCGTAATTTTATTAGTAGTACAAATCAATAACTAGTCAGACTTAATTTTTTCTATTTTTATCAATAGTACAAGTCAATATTTAGTCAAATTTTCTCAATTTTCACTTTTTTTTATCACTTTTAATTATTATTTTAATATTATTATTTCATTATTATTTTACTATATTTCATTATTATTTCATTATTATTTCATTATTATTTTTTAATGACTCAAACTTCTATTTCACTAAAAAAAAAAAAAAGACAAAAAAAATAATTTATAAATATTTCACAATGATTGAAGTGTATTACATTCTATGTTTAGTGTGTAATAGAGTCACTATAACGACGTAAGTCGATGTCTTTTATAGAATTCTCAAGAGCTACATGAAGTGGCACTATATGTCGAGCCATTCGCTATATGATAGCGTGTACCATTAAAGGGTACCGCCATGTTATAATCTCGGAGAATATATATATATATATTTTCCACATATATATATACACATGTAGTGCAAGATGAGTAAAATGGCAGTTGAACGTCTAGTATACCTGGGAATAATGCCCTAGGACAAGGGTATGTTTCTGAGGGATCTGTGTGGCATCATTAGAGACGACAATCCTCGTTTTCATTCCTATGAGACACTGGGCAGGAAACCAGAAACACCATGGCGGTTAAAGGATGAGGAAGAGAAGGAGAGAGAGAGAGAGAGAGAGAGAGGATAACGGGATAACGGTAGTGCTTCCGGTTCGAGTTGAGTGGGCCATGCATTTTTAACACCCTCCTGGCTTTGCAAATACACTCGCGGCCTCTCTCTCTCTCTCTCCCCCCTCTCTTTCCTACTCTCTCCTTCTCTCTTCTATATTTCTCTTTCCCTTTTTCTCCTTCTCTCTCTCTCTTTTCCTCTCTGTATCTTTCTCATCTTTTCCCCTTCTCTCTCTCTCTCTCTCTCTCTTCGCATGTATAACACAAACCGGAAACTGGCTGCAGTCGACCGCAGAAACGTGTAAAACCAACTTAAGCCATGAGAGTAAACCAACCCTGGTGCTCTTTCCAATCCCCCCCCCCCCTTCTTTTTTTTCCTTTCCGTCCAACTACGTCCTTTTTCGCTCACCTCTCCCATAAGCGTAAACCGCTTGGAAGCGTCGCAAATGTGAAACAGAAACGTTATTAGTTTCCTAGACGAGAACGATAGCAAGAGAGAGAGAGAGAGAGAAAGATCTATTCACTCTCTACGAAAAGGGACTATATATATAGAAAACCAACGTTCATGCAACGCTCGTTGAAATTGAATTTAAAATCACGCCCCCGAAAAGAGAATTTGACATTCGACACAACTTTGCACTGCTCGTTTCAAATTTGATTACACGATGAAACATCAAGAGGAACGGTTTATTTTTTTCGAATTGAGAAAAACTTCAATATGCAAAAAAAAGAGAGAGAGAGAGAGAGTTTATAATTTTTTGTATAAATAAAATTTTATTTTCTATTAAAATATGATTTCTTTAAAAGAAGTATGTGTCTCGCTTTCTAAAACTCGCGAATTTATTTACTTTACTTTATTATTTATTTAATGTCAATTAGTCTTGTTTTAAAGTTTAGTGGAAAATTTTCATATTTCATATTCTCGTTACGAAAATCTTTTGGTAGAAAATAGTTGCAAATCTTCGAAACGTCAAAAATTATTATTATTATTTAAGAATTATTAATACAAATAAAAAATTTGAAATGAAATATAATAAAATTAATAATATAAGGGGTAATTCTATGTAAAGCGGAAACCGATGAAAAATTTTATTTTTCCTTTTCTAAAGATTATGGAGAAATAAAATTTTCTCAAGAATATATAAGGGTTAAATTTCACTCTCTAAGCCGTTAATGGAGCAACACAAAACATATCCCCCGGTCCTTGTTACGATTATCCTTAGAGCCGAAGATTTGCAGTTGCGTAAGTAGGCTTATAAAGCGACGAGTTGAGAATGGGGTATTTAGGGGGACGAACCAACATGTAATCAGGTCCAAAGATTACTATCCCATAAGCTGTCAGTTAAGTTTGAACCAATCGCTTAACTAAAATCTTGTCTTGAGCTCTATACCTATAGATATATATAGTAAACATTGTCTCCTATAAAAACATAAGGTTTAAGCTGTAAAACACTTTTCCCTTTGTTCTATTTTAATAATAATAATAATATTAAAAAAAATACTTATTTTTTAAATCATTTATGTAACTGCCTGATTTATTATAGGGCTGTACTACTTATTTTCAAATCGGTATTTATTTTTATAGAAAAAATTATGTCTGACTGAAAACAACTTGTACTACTGATAAAATTGAAAATTAGAAAATCTGACTAAATATTGATTTGTACTATACTGATAATAGGAAAAAAATTGGTACGTCTGACTAAATATTTGCTTGCACTACTGATTTTCTAATTTAGTCATTATGTTCTACTAAATTCGACTCGTACTACTGAATAATAATAAAATTATAACAATTTAACAAGGCCGATTAAACATTGACTTGTACTACTGAAAAAAGAAAATTAGAAATATTTATAAATTTCGATCAAAATCGATACAA